ACTTGTATACTATATATTTCATTCCGCTACTTGATATGCATTATACGGCCTTTGGTCGTGTGCAATTGGCATTCATGTCTGTGCGCTACGTATGGGCCATAATGCGGACTCGCAGTCCATTAAGTGTATGGCAACAGTTGGCAATAAGTATACGCATTTGTACAACACAAGAATGTATATACTTGTAGAACGAGCAATTAGTATTGATTTGGTTCTGAAAAATTTAAGGCTATTACTTAAAGGTACATATACTTGTAGTACTTGTATGTAGCTGGATGTTGTACAAACTATGCACACCCTAATGGCTACCAATTGCAAGAGCTTCTACATTTAAGGATAATGTCTTATGTGCCATATTCGCCTTACAAAAATAATGCATATCGATCTGAAAAGTGCAAATTATTTACAAGATTACACAAGAAATTGAAGGTCCTTAGTTTTGCAAATTTTGAAAATGGGCAGAAAATAATTAAAATCAGCAGAAAATTCTTATCTTTGGCTTATACATTATATGTTGTTGATCCGCTGTAGCCTAGGGATATAATAGGAATATAGCATTATATATATTATAAGCAAATATTTATCTAAAATCGAAAAGCGAAATGACTTCATAACATAATAAAAATACATGAAAAATATATGAAGAATATACTTATTAGGAAAATTGAAAATGTTAAGCATATAGGAAATAACAGAAAGAGATTTTAGTATTTAGTGTTTTCTCTTATTTATTTAATTAGTTGCATACGAAAAATATAATTTTTTTTTGTAAGCATATTATTATCTACTACGTTAATATTGGCCTTTCTGGCCAGCTAGGCTCCTTTTCACAGCGAAATGTGTTGTGGTCAGAGACGAATACATAATAGACCCAAACATAAAAGGTTAGGATATACTTGCATGAATTAACTAATTTTAGATTAAATAAAAAAAGCAATTTTATAAATACAGCTGCAGCTGCAAAATAAGAATACAATACATTTAATGGCGGTCAAGAAACGAAAAAAAAAAAAATGTGAAAGATGATCAAAGCACTTTCAAAAAACCAAACTAGACAAGAAAAATCTATATATTTATTTAGGGCAAGCAAAAGGACTGAATAATAATTCGTGCAGGGGCACCAACTATCGAATAGCAATTCATCGACAACAAAACGCAGACCAGCAGTCATCGATTGGTTTGCATTCGGCGATTATAAAGGATTTGTATATTTCTTGCAAATTGTTTGTTTGTAATTATTCAGTTTTTATTTTGTTGTTCACAAAAGAAAAGAAAAAAATACAGCGTTTTATTTCGAACTATTCCTTGTGTCTTAATTCTCAACCGATAGAAACTCAAGCCTTAGTCATATTGTCAATTTTAAAAGACCCTTATAACCTATATTGGGAAGCACTCTTTGATTTTTCCACGGTAGATATATTAGACATATTAGTTTTCTGCTGTTGTTTAATATAATAATATAATATAATAAAATACTAAATGTATTACGCGCTAATCATTTCGAATATAGAAATGAATTAAATGAGCCCTCACATTATAATATTGACTAACAAATAGATACTTCTACTCTCAAATATTTATTATACCCATAAAAAATATATATAAATCGTATAATTTATAATGGCTATTTAGTTTAACTAAATGCAATGTTAATCAACAAATATATAAATATAATCAGAATATCTGTGCTATCTGCTCTGCAATTGAAAAAAAAAATAAAAGCATTTATATTGAGAAGAACACATACAAGTACATGCCATTTTTTAAGTATTTTCTAAGAGTTTTTAGTTCTTTAGACAAGTGTTTTTAATTTTTATTTAGGTTCATTGCTTTTTTTTTTTATTTTTTGTTCGCCTATGTGCTTGAATTATTTTGTAAAAGAAAGAAATGCTGGGGTATTGCGATAAGACTTTCTAAAATACCATTAGTTCTTTTAATTTATTAATTTTTAATCTTTTAATTTTGTTAAATAGTTGTTATTCATTTTCGAACTGGAGGTCGTCCAACCAGCCTTCAAAACCTTCGGCTTAAAAAACATAATAAAAATTTCACCATACAGGAATTTTTTTTATGAGAATACAACAAAGCTTTTTAATCAAAAATTTTTGAATTACAAGAATAACACCAGTGCCATATTTATACTATTTGAATATTTTTAGATTACTTCGACTTTGAGCGCCCTTAGTCAGGCACTATATATTTTAAATGATTTATATGGAATCGACTCAGATCTACTTAATTGCTGAGGGTTCAGTATCGGGCTCTGAAGCGAACATATTTAAAAAAGATTAAATAAAGCACATCATCAATTGTTGGTGGGCCTTTTGGGGCAATTGGCTTTATGGCTTCGGAAACTTTTAACAAATTCTGTGCCGTCGCCGAGAGTGAACATTCGCACTCCTTGCGGACGGGCACATCGGTCCCACATTCATTCTACGCTTTGTTGCCCTTCAAATCGTTAAGCCTGGAAAATCTTTAGAATACTTCCGCCATGCGCTGTTCTAGACCAACTTCAGACCCTTTAATCGACGCAATATTCAACCGCCTGACAGTGAGCCCGCTTTGTCTGCCCGCCATAATAAGCAACCCTAAAAGAGTGGGACCCCAAGAACAACTCATTACAAAACCTTTTTGTGCAAAATTTAATTATGAAATGCCCAAAACCTACACAAAATTTAAGTAGTTTTGCGGCGGGCCTGAATTTAAAAGGCAGTCGCGCACAAAATGTGGCTACGGCTGCCGGCACCGCAAATATTAACCACAACAAAGCTGCAATGTAAATAGCCTCGGAGTTTGTTGTTAGCCGACAGCACAGTACAGTACGGAGCAGTACAGTAATGTCAGTCTAAAGGGGCTCACTCCCCTAAAGGGATGCGCTCCCCCACCAGCCCTTTCGCGTACCGACTTGAAGGGCCTTGACAGCTGGCAGGCAGGCAGGCAGGCAGCACCTGTAAATATTTTTAAATAGGCGTTAGCAGAGAACGACAAATTTCCGCTACTAACAAGATGTCAGCAGCAACAACAAACACAATAATAACATTAACATTACTTAACAAAAACAACAACAGCAACAACAACAACAACCACAGATAGGCCAAAAGGCTGCCTTTTCGACACTGGCGGCATGTAAATGAGAAAATTCATTATTTAACATTAATTAAAGCTTATTATGCACATTATCAACACATACACACACACACACACACACACACACACACACATACACAAGCATACACTAACCGCATTAAATGTCACTACCAAGTGTGTGAGTGTGCGTGTGTGCGTTTCAAACTATCAAACAACCTGCTGATGGCTGCCAGTCAGACACAGAAAAGTGAGAGGAAAACAGGCAGAGCCACATACATTTTAACTCATTAAACAGGATCTGAAATGCTGCCAATACTTGTAACATAATATCATCGTATAGCAGTAACAAGGAGAACAGCAATAGCACCTACCTCCATGCTGAATGTTTTTAAATTATTCAGTAAATGTTATAGAAACACGAAACACACCTTGAACGGCAAGGCAACAACTGCCAAAGGATGTTCCAACAGCCCACACACTGGCCAACAAAATGGCGAACAGACCTCAACACGTCCCTTAAAATGTTCCAACCAGCGCCGAATAAAGGCATAAGTCTACACTTGGAGAAAAAGGTTTAACAGATAAGGCTGGATGCTCGGATTATTTTTTCTTAAGCTCCTGAAAATTAGGAAAAAATCAAACTCCAATTAAAAATCGGTCATTGAGTTTTCTTAGAATTCTTCAACATACAATTAATTAAATTTGCTTCAGCATTTTCTTGATTTTCCTACTACGAATAAATTCAAGAAAAAATCGAAATCAAATCATGTGAATCGGTTAAAAATAAAATGATATGTGATCTTCAATAAGGTATGGAAATGATGCAAATACCTTACAGAGAAAGTAAATCTAACTTCAGTGATTTTTCTTTTCTTTTCGTTACTTAAGCTTTCATCCTCTGGGATATACTTGTAAAGATGAATATCACATTTCATTTATGTACACCTTATAGAAACTACTTCCTTAATACGATTTCCGTTTAGTCTGACAATCCATTCTTATGTAGGACAACCGACAAATTACAAAAATTAAATTAACAGAATTATAAAGTATACTTGGTTCAGGAGTGTTATAAATATATACAAATAAGATAGATTAATTAATTATTATTGTAATTTAATTAGGCTTTTCTAGCTTATAAGATGCTTTTTATGATTTTTATATATTTTCCTCCTATGTCAGTCGCTCTTTATCGGATTCTTGGTTAAAGCTCCATTTAGATGAGAAAAAGTTCTTCAACTTTGTCTTTTCAATTTATGTGAATACCGAAAACCAATTAAAGAAAACAATTGAAGGTAATAATGCCAGTAGAATAAAAAAAATGAAAGATATACATACTTGTATGCTTTCTATTTTTGATAAAACTATCACAAACTTTATAATCTTATAAGACAGTTAAATGGTTCATTGTTAAACGAGCATTACTAATTACTTCGAGTGAAAGTTACAGTGAAAGTGAATTTTAAATTCCAATCGTGGGTGTTGAAATCTTAGATATTTTTCCAATTATACTTACCATTGAATCGCAACGAATTGCGGAAAAGTTTCAAAAATAATGTAAGCTGAAATTTCAAGAAAAGGTTTCTAGGTTGCATTTCAGTTAAGTAGCACTCATATGGATAAAAATTGCATTATAATCTTTTAACTTGTAAATATTCGTAGAATCGAAATATATATGTAGCCTAAGACTAGCTTAAAGATAGTTTATTTGAAAATGATGTTATTAGTATTTTTTGTTTCTTTGTCTGGTTGAAATATCTTACCAAACTGAAAATATAGTCTTAGAAATCGGAAAATTCTGTTTCATATATGTATTAACTGTATTTTGAATCGGTTTGATTATTAAGGCACATTTCCTGTTTTTTGTATGCCCAGCATTTGTTTATCTTGAAGGATAATAACTTACACTGAAATGAGAAATTAGACTTGTTTTTATTATATCGAACAACTGTATGGTGTCTGCACCAGGAATTTCAGAAGATTTGATTTAAAATCGAAATTGTCGAGGTAAACATTCTTACGAATTGTGATTAAACGATAAATAGTTATAAATAAAATTTTGGCTAGTGTCGTCGAAAGATGCGAAAGTAGTTGAGCCAATTTTGAAGTTTATGTCGCGGAACGTTCTGCGAAGGTCCCAAGGACGTTGATCGCAGATCCGTGTGTGAAGTGTGGGGGCTATGGGGTGAAGACCGGTTGATCGAGCACATATGTGCGTTTGCAGCAAGTCCAGTTGTCGATGAGGATTTCGAGCGAGTTTGGCGCTGGGGCCACATATTTTGGTCATGGACATTGGCTAGGTTGATGAGCGGTAGATCTCGGAGCGAAGGAGTTAGGGGGGATCTGGGGTCAGTGCGGCTTTTGCGTGCAATCACTCGCCTAACGGTGGAGCGAGATTTTCTACTGGCCGTCCTGCGCCTTGATCTAACCGCAATGACTTTCTCCCCCGGTTCCTGGTTCTTTTGTTGGTGCTCCAAAGCTAAGTGTGTCCCTTGTCTGCGTACGTTAGTAGAATAATCAACTGGTGCCCTCTCTGATCCTTCTGGGTTATGCTGCTGGAATGATGCGCCAGTCCAATTCCGGCGTGTCCTACGAACATCTAGGGATGTGGATGGCCGCCCATCTGCTCCTTGAACCTGCTGCTCTAAATATGAGTAGCAGTTCGGTCCGCGCATCGTGTCCAGACAAAAATCTTTGTCGTTCTCCTCCTCAATTCGCACCTGTATCGACGATATGGCACCCAAGCTATAAAGGATTTGGCGACAGGACCTGTTATACCGTAAGATCTGTAATTGTGTCATTACGCTGGGAGATCGAAACTGATTCTTCTGGTGCATGGTCATGCGGCGCCACATGGCCGCTCCGCGTCGAACTTGCTCCTTGGGGCTTAAGGTGGGATTGCAGTCGCGGAACTTGCGCAAGAAATTCATGTACGCCGATTTGCCAGGCACAATGTAGGGGGCTTGTCTGTGTCGGCCGATGGCTGTAGTTGGTACACTTGGACGGCGCACTCGCTTCGGGGGCTGATTGTCCTTCTGCTGGTGGTGTCTAGATGAGTCGGGGCTGCGCCGCTGACGTTTCTCCGCCCGACGCGAATAGCTTCTACGGCTATAGCCGTTGGAAGTAGAGCGTCTGGAGCGCTTTGAAGGTTTCTGCGCGCAGCTGATGGAGCGTCGTTTGCTCTGGGAAAGTGCTGTTGCATGAGTGTTCCTGGGGCGCAACGTAACGCAGGATCCATCTGCCACAGAATCGGCGTTAACGATTTGAGTTTGGGTTTCTTCAGAAGCTGCATTCCGATCTTGAGTGCCATCGTTTAAGAAATTGTTCAGTACCTTACTCCACTTTAAAACATAATTTTGAGGCTCATACTCTCTGCGTTCTTTATCCGACAAGCGATTCCAAAATTGCTCAGCATTTTCGATTTGCTGCAGGGAAGTTTGCGAAGTATGTTCACTCTGATAGTCTTGTAGAAAGTTCAAAAAGGCGTCCTTATTAATGGATATATGGCCATTGAAAAAAATATTAATTTGGTGAGCTATTGGTGATGACGGTACATCCAGTGAGGACGACTCTCTCTGTCCAGCTAAGAAATTGATAAAGTTTTCGAATCTCTCATTCGAGGCAATCAGTTCATTCTCGGCAACATGATTTGGCAGTTGCTCCAAACTTGAAGGCACTTTTTCGGCTAAGGTCGCACTTTCCTGGCTGTGCAGGGAATGCGAAGAGAATCGCATTGAGGCGGCCTGCCGCAGCACAATCATTTCCGTGTCATGCGATCCCTTTGTATTCACCTTCGATTCGTGTTGCACGCTTCTGGATGACGCCAACACTTTCTGTGACGCTGCTGGAGATTTAAGTTTTGGCATTTCCTGTATTTGCTGTCCCTGCGGCTCTTCTTGCGTCCTGACTTCCTTTTTTTTCGGAGGAGGATCCGGCAACTTGCATAGTTGCATTTTTCGCGATACATTTTTCTTATACCTCTTGGCAGTAAATTCGTTTCTCTGCTTCTTATCTAAACTAGTCCACACGGTACATGCCTTTGACGCCAGTTCTTCGGAGGCTAGATTTGGATGTTTCTTCCTAAAGTATGCCTGAAAGTTCAAGTATGGGTTTTTCCGTGGCCTGGAAGGAATCTGGCGCAGACGCTGGCGTGGTCGGTTTTTCTGAGCTGGGACTCGAGGCTTGCGAGTCGGCGCCATATCAACTAGCTTAATTAGATTTTCGAAAACTATGTCAAGAGTAAAGGAAAACGAAACGAAACGAAAGCTGTTGCAAGCTATAAGGATTAATTGCTTTTTGATATTTTCACAAAGTTTAAAGCCGCGTCTCGCAACAGCTGGCGCGGCTTTTATGCGAAAGTTTCGAAGCAGCACGTTCGCAACTTTGCATTAGAAGTTGATGCTAGTGTTTTGAGAAATTGTGGGAAGGGCATATCGTACTTACACAATCAGCTATTCCGCTAAACTTTGCTTCGATAACAATGCTTAAACAATGCTAGTCTTTGGTTCAGTCAAGCGCCAATCGGTAAAGCTGGTGATGAACAAAGCCTTAACAAATAAAAATATATCTACAATTTTTACAAATATTAGTGTCGTGTTACTTATAATGAGTTGAAATCGAAACTGAAATGATTTCCCATCGTCTGCTCTGACGGAACCGAAGCAGCGACAGCTTTTGAGTTGCCTGCTTGGTTGGGTATATAAGCTGCTTTGTTCCGTGCTATATTTCCTAAAACTAACTAAATTAATAAGTTTACGAAATAAACAAAAAGATAAATTATTTATAAAAGACAATTGAATTTAAGTCGCTGAACTGAGCAACTATATTCAAACCTATTAGACAACTGTGTACAAATGTACACACAATCGATGGAATGTTCCGGTAGACACATTTCTTAATTGCATTCGCACAAGCATCTGGCAGCGAGTGAGATGCTGAATCTAATCAAGTGAAGTGGAGTGTATAAACATGAACTTTATTTTTGACTAATGCGCGAATAATTGCTTGCGTTCTAGCCTTCAGATAAAGCACTTTGTGTTCGTATGTATTGTAATCGTGAAAATTAAATCGACAGCACGACCTCTCATCATTTTCTCTATTATTTATGAAAACGTATTCTTTAAGTGGCATATTTTTTTTGTGTTTTCCGGATGTTTTTCTTTTTCTTTTTGTGTTTTTATACGTTGCATGCAGAAGCCCCAAAAATACACGCTATCTTATTTATCTTCAAGTTTTATTGTTGTTGTTGCTGAATTGAAAAAATCTTCCAAATCGATGTAATTTAATAATGTCAATAAATGCTGCAGCTTTCTTAACGCTGGAGGAGAATCCATTTTTAACAAATTCAAATTAACAAATTTGAAAGAGAACAATTTCTGGCAACATTGTGACTTTTCTATAATTAATACAAAATAGCTCATCTAAAACTCTTTGGCCCACACGCTACTTCCTGTCCAAGCTGCCGTATCTACATAAATAAAACGCGTGCTCTACTTAATTAGGAAATGAAGTGCAATATCAAGGGTGGAATTCTATTTAGGATCTGCTACTTACTACGTATAGCTGTTGGAATATTATTGCGCAAAAGCAAACTAGCCCAGAGGTATTGAATTGATCGATTTCTATTAAATTAAAGCCAGAGCTATAGAATTACATCAAAAAGAACTCACGCAAAGGTTTTTGATTTTGATTAGCAATACTTACTACTACTACTATTTTATATTCATAGAGTCGGAGATGCTTCCTTCTGTCTTTGAGTTCAGAGTATAAAAATTGTATTAGGATGTAATTTTTTGTCCCATTTTTTTTATCACATCTTTAACGATAAGTAATAAAATCTTAGTCTAATTTAGTTACTTTATTAATTAAAATTAATTATTTAAAATAGGTGCCTATCTACTGGGATGGTCCTGAAGCTTGAGCTTGTACTTTGCTTTCACCTTGGCGATTTGATCTTTGACAGGTCCCACATTTAAATCTTTTTGGATATTTTCATTCCGTATGTAGCATGGAGCTCCAGTAGCGGTTTTCATTTTTTTCGATTAATTGGCTTAAGAACTGCATTGTACAAGAGTACTGTGTACTCCAGTTTTAATGGTGAGCAAACGTTTATGAGCCAATGTAGCTTACTAGCCTTTAATTTCAGTTTCCGCCAAGTAAGCCGTCTATCCAAATGGACACCAAAATATAATTTCAATTGTTTTATTTCTTAGTTCAAGTGCTGCCTCTAATCCTTTTTGAGTTTTTTTTTTGTGCCTGAATAGAAAACTTAATAGTTATGGGTATTACACCACATTTTTTCCAGTCATTTGAGGATTGGCAAATACTTGTACAACTAATGACCACTTTTGATTTTGAAGCTGTTGCGAAGGTGCTCTTCTTGTGTTTGACAGAAAACATTTATTTCAAATAAAAGCTTCGGGATTCTGTAGACGGGAAAGCACGTCTAAATGGCTCTTTCCATTCCCACAATGTACAAGTATATGTATGGTATATACGTATATATTTTTTGGCTACTCAGTTTAAATGATATGCAAAGTAAAAGAAGCGGAGGCAGTAGTGGCTGTTGGAGTCAGGTCACTTAGGGGTATAAGGGCACCAGCAATTCGATACGCTTGATTATATTGTAGAATGTGGGAGTGTAGGAGTGGGAGCTGTAGGAGACGCTGAATGTGTGTTGAATGCCGTACTCGTAATTTATGCAGGCTGGGGTGGAAATATTTGCAAAACTTTATGCAAAAATATGCTATGGTCGGCGTACAACACATGCAGTATGCGGTCCAAGGCGAAAGGAGTAGCAACTGTCCATGCGTGCGGGTGGGACTGGGCGGTGGGCGGATGGTTGGAGGTGTTGGTGAGCTTTCTGGTTCTGCATGCCAAGTAGCCAGCTTGCTAGCTTGCCAGCAGCACATTAACAAAAATTGATTTTGGATTTTTCAGCATGGAGCGCGTGGGTTTGCGAACGCTTGTGTACACAGTAGCGCCGCCTTTCATCGTTCCCATCACTTCCTTCCCGACTGGGGGTCGGCACGTTTTCTGGGTTAATATACTCAAATATCAAGGCAACATCCATGGCAGCAAAAAAGAGAACATACATACACCCAATGGCGCGCTCTAGCATTAGAAAATAAAGCAATTTGTTTTGCGCATTTTCAAGTTGGTTATTTTTTTTTGTATTTTGTCAGTTTGTTGCCGGCCAAAGTTTGATTAGTTTGTTTTGCATGTGTGTTGATGTTGTTCTCTTTGTTGCTGTTGTTGCTGCTGCTACTGTCGTTGTTGTTGTGGTTGTGTTGGTGGGGGGCTAATGTTATTAATGTATATATATATATATATATATATATGCTGGTCGTCGAGCTTATCGAAAACTGTGGTGCTGTAAATCCATGTCTACGGGCGTCCAACACACTACTTCAGGCCGCACACAAACCTTTTATGCAAACTTTACTTGAGAGTTTTTTGTTTTTGCTTTGTTTTTGTTTTTGCTTTCGATTTTTATTTCTCTGTTTTTCCGGTAAAAGTTTTTGGCCATTGTTGGCAAGTGTGGGCGGGAGTGTGTTTTATGTTTGCCTGCGTTGATGGCCAATGAAATACTCATACTTGGGCATATGCCACTATTTGCGTGTCTCAGGCGACTTTTGGCTTTAGTTTGTGCATCGCAAAAATTTGGAAATTATGCAGCTGGAAACTGCAAAGTGAAGCTGCAAAGTCAAAGAGGCCACGAGCAGGAATTAGCAGTAGCACTAGGCACTCAGTGCCAGAGGAATGCCGAGTGCATCGAGCGCTTGTGCGGACCTCATGGCTTCCACTTTCGCATAGTTTCTTGTACGGTTTTGCCTTTTCAAAGGCGCTTAGCACTATGTGGCATTGGAGTGTGCTGTTGAAGGCTTAAAGCTACAGAAAGTCGGCTTAGAATAGACTAAGAGCCAAATCACACTTATGTTCGCCAGTGGGGCTGTTTTCCCAAACAAACAATTTTAGGGAATGTTTGGAAGTAAGTCATATTTCCTGCTTCCGAAGAGTCGCCATTAAAAAGAAATGGAGAGACATTTTGTAGCTAAGGTTTTGTCTAAGGATTTTCCCATCCATTAATAACTGCATAGTGGACGTGGCCTTTAGAGACTTACTGCAACCTTCTAACAACTGCAACAGTTTTAAGGAATGTTTGAAAATAAGTCATATTTCTTTTGTCTATATCCGACCAAATCACTTCCGAAGAATCGCCTTTAAGAGAGATATTTTATGGCTTTGTCTAACCATTTTCCAACCCATTAATAACTGTATAGTGGATGTTTTTTGAGATTTACTGAAACCTTCTAACAACAACATTTTTACTGATGTTTAAAAATAAGACATATTTCTTTTGTCAAGATTCGACCAAATTGCATCGGAAAAGTCGTAATTAAACAGATATGGAGAGATAATTTAAAGCTTTGCCAAAGCATTTTCAAATACATTAACAACTGTATAATGGTCTTAGAGATATACTGAAACATTCTAAAGAGAGTTTTATGTTTTAAGTTTTATATAAATCAATTGGAAATAAAAAAATGTAAAAAATATTTGCAATATAATTGAAAAAACAGAATTTCATTTATTTTACACAATTCTCAAGTTCTCCTTTACAATATTATTAAATATATTATGAACTGATGTTAAATTTCTCATTTATTCATATTTTTACAAAGAGTTGCTTTTTTTTGCTCATTAAAAGCTGTCACGAGCGACTTTTCTAATCAAGAATATAGAAATTTGTGCACCCAAGAGATACAGGCTGCGTGTATTAATACATTTCCAGCAGCCTGCCCTTCAGAAATTAAAAAGCAATCTACATAGCTCAGTGGTCTGAAGAGGGGCACAAACTCAACCTCAAATCGACCATGTCGGAAACTAATGACCATGCAAAGTGGCTAACAAATCAGGCGCAATTACGCGCTCAATGTCGACACCAATACCAATACAACAGCCCCACGAATTTGGGGAGCAACAAAGTTCTGCCAAGATCGCGCATTGAACAAATGTAAAACATTTAATAATCTCATTTTGTTTTCATTTGCGGCACACAATGGGGCGGCCAATGAGAGCTGAGGCTCAATCAGAAAGTTGAACAAACAAATTGCAAAATGGAAATAAAAGAAATGTGAAATTTTTGCATTATTTTTGCTTGCTGTTGTGGGCCTCGTTCCCTTATCTCCCTTTTCTCCCTTTACTCCCTTTTCATCCTTAGCGGTAGCCCTTGCATGCTCGTTAGACACACACACACACACAAATATATTTACGCGCAGACATACAATCTCACAGGACTTACTACTTTCTGCGCCAGCGAAAGCAATTTCCGTTCGTTAAACCTTCATTTTGAAATTAAATTTCTTACACTTGAAAAGCTCAGTGGCAGCAGCAGCAGCAGCTCCAATATTGTGTCGCTGCCAGCGTCAGTTTCCATCTTTGGCGCCTTGAAGGCTGCTGCTTGTTTTTCATTTGTTGCGCTCGCTCTACTTTCGGCAGAGCAATTATGCTGCTTTGTAGTATATGTCTGACTGTGTGTGTGTGTGTGTGCGTGTGTGTGTGCGTGTGTGT